CTCTTTGCGCAATTGCAATAACTGAAATCTCGTCCGAATACCCCTTCCATGTTATTCCTGCCATGGCAATCTCGTCCAACCTCTAGTTTCCCTACACTTGATAAGCCATATTTTTCTCGAAATCGACGAATTCTCTCACTTTCTTCACAACCGATAAACTATTCCCGATCTATACTTCCGCTTTTCGAATAAAAACGGGTACCTCAAAATTATCGTGAACTGTGCCATTATGCTCGCTCAGCTCTACGTGTGGATATGTATCGGTCAGGTAGCTGGCCACGCTGAGAATGTACGGGAGCGTATTTTTTCGAAGCTACCCCGGACCCTCTCTGAAATTCTTCCAAGTGACTCAAATGCATACCTTTGGTTTACAATCAGTCAACATGTCGGATTCCATTCACGCCCATAAATTCACCCCATATCTCACCATATCTATCCTCTTAACAAATATACATCGAGATTTGAGAAGGAATCCTTAAATGGGTTCAGAATACCAAGGATGATGAAAAAGGTCTCCACGTGGTGAAAGGGTGGCACCTCAAGGCCAAGGTCTCAATTGTGTCTGAAAGCATAAAGTCTTCACGCGTTGATCTATCATCTTTTTAGTTAAGCCCCGCATGAGACTTTGATTTGAAATAGCACTTATATGAAAATGTGGCCTGTACAACGAACTGCGGCGAGGTTCGTTGCTTCTATCCTGCCATTTGAACCGATGCCAATTATCGACCCAGGCTTGAATGGCTTGGGAAGGAATCGAGCAGGGTTTGATGTCTGAACCGAACGTGTAGTAGTGTGCATCACTGCCTCCGCCACTTACCCCCTATTGAGAACATTAGGTTGCGCGGAAAATATCTGTCGAGCAGTAGCCCATATTTCTGACCGGATTTTATGGGAGCTCCCATAAAAGTATCTAAGGAAACTACTTACCTATTTGCGTCTAACATAACATATAAGGAGATTCTGTGCCACCGCAGTGGTTGACCAGATCGAGGCTCATTTTCCACTTTTCTGTTTCAGACTGTTAAGCGTTGGAACGAGGCGTGAACAGTACTGTTTGCCTGGGATGGGATGAAGGCCAAGAACACGACACAAGTTTTAATGGATAAAAGCAGCAGCTAATCCGGATTCAAAAACGTGAAGAAGTATCGGTAGAGAGTACGGTCATTACATGATTAGATAAGCAAGGAAGAGGTAGCAGGACATGTTGTGTGCGTAGATAGTTGGTAGTGTCTTTGTGTGTGTGTGTGAGTGATGTCCTTACATTCAAATCCCATGAAAGCTTCAAAACTTCTCGAAATAAATCTAGGCCCATGTGAAGACTTCGGCAGATACTCTCCGTACGAACTAATACTGATGTAAAACCCATTGGCATTGAAATCATTGAATGATATTCGTGAAAGCCAATTGAGAATACCCCTCGACGAATTCACCACATCGTACCTAGAAAACGCTGATGCAGTGTAATTCAGCTTATTTGGGTGTTCCTGTGTGTTGCTCCAACGGTATGAGTCAACTTGGTGAACTGAATTGATCGGAGGACCGACTGCCTTGTGTAATCGGTCGTCGGATTACGGCATTGTAGTCTAATCGTAGGAGACGATGGCATTGAGAGTAATTCCAAAGAATTAGATGCCGTGTGAGCCCCTAGGAAATATCTGTTCTGCGGTAAGGCAAATGTAAGAAAATAGAGGCCCGGCCACCCTAGCCAAAATTTTACGCCCACCACCTACCTATCTCGTTTTACTAGCCATACTTCCACAGTTAACGTTGCGCATCTACCAAAACTGATAACGGTCCTCTAAGCTATGTGATGCTCGTGAGATATGACCTTCGAGACGTCCTAGTCCTCTGGAGCATCACAGAAGTCACAGATGAAGAATAAGACTTGTCAATATTCATAATCAAAACTGATCATGAAGCTCCTCGCCTTTATGGTCCTCGTGAGTGAGGCTTACGGGACGACCATGACCAGGGGAACAGCTTAGAACTCGAAAATGAAAAAATGGAACACCAAAACCGATACTGTCTGCATCTTGATAGAAGCCGCTAAACAAATGTGTAGCTGAAATAATATGCATGATCTAGATATGCCCCGTATGAAAACTGTTGTTGACCAAAGATGATGACAACGAATGAGAAAGCCCTTTTAATGAAAAGAATTACTACCACGCACAGAGCGAGCGTGATATAATTCGCTATGGAGGCTTATTTTGCATGATAACAACCAGCTTACTAGTCCAATATATAGTAGTAAGGGTTATACTAACGTGTTTTTTGCATTGTTACTGTGTGGTTATGTTTTTTTCCTCTCAGATGACTAGATGGCTGTGGTTGCGATAGCTTACCTCTCTTTTCCTCATCACATCGCATTTCTCGAAATCAAAAATGGCATGCGTTGTGTTGTGAAACGAGCAATCTGGTCGATTGAAATGCCCCTTGGCAAAGACATGCGAAGGTGGCTGCTTCTCGGTGGCAATACTGACAGCAAGACGACCATGGCCACATTCTATCGTTGGCTTTTCTGAAAAATGGTTCATGATAACCAAGGAAGTGAACTGTGGCAAGTGGGAGGCTGGTCAATGTAATATGTACTATATCTTCTCCTTTTTCATATCTTCTCAAATAAAACACCATCGAATAGGTGCGGTTGGCACCCCAGTGGAAATATCAAATTTGGCAAGAGTTCACTATTACACGTTTATGACTTCCCATTTCCCTTAACAGTGATGAACTGGTGCCTGCTTTTTATTAACAACAGTGAACGTAGCCAAAATCCTTCTGAAAAATCCGAAAAGTAATTGAAGAGGATGCGCTGGCTCAAGTCCTACCAGCCGTGCTAGAGGCCAGAAATATTGTAGCACAGGAGTCTATCTCGAGTAGAATGATACTGGGAATGGGGCTTCCTGTTTCTGGGACTTTCATTTTCCATCCGTCCTCACCGTGCGATTTCAGTCCTAACCTCCCTCACGACCATTCCTATTGATAGCACGTGTGCATTGAGCATATGCTGTTCTGATCAACCCCAAGGATAACGGTTTGGCAAGTTTTCTAGAGCTTTCTAGCTTTGGTAGAGCCGATCAATGGCATTTCTCGCGAAAGATGAAAAGATTATCAAACCATTCCGTGAAATTCTCATGCAAATTTTTCCACAGTCTTGAAGATAAGGCAGCGCCAATCCTTCAGCGAAAGCGTTCCCGCATCAATCAAATTAACTGAGTAAGGCATCACAAGATAATCTCCACTGTTAACTTTGCAGAATCACTGTCTTCTAAATTTCGCTCATATCCTCGACCCTCTGAATATGCATGCTGAATAACTGGACGAATCAGTGACCATATTTGTGCTGTGGTCCATCAAATTGCATCACATGGCAAGCTGCAGATAACCTGAACGTTAAACGTCGACATTCTGCAGCTTATCCCAAAACCGTACATCCAGTGTGGCCGCCACTTCTACGTTTCCACTTGCTCCAAACTTGACATTAGAACAGACGCTTTTGTATCAAAGAACCGATAAGGGAACATCAAGTCGGCCTTCAAAACTTTTTTTAGCTGAAGAGCGTTCACTCCTTCATATACAGTTGATCAATCCCACAGGGGGTTGGCAAAGGCAAAGATAATCAGAAAGTTGATCCGCGGACTGTGCGCTTGACCGCCTCTCTCTGCAGTGCTCGTTCTGCTCAAGTTGCAGTTTGAATACAAGTAGGAGCGCAACTCTAGATGAAATCAGATGAGTGCTTCAGCCGCCTCATTTTTGTTATCAAATGTCGCCATCACAACTTATTTCTTTTTTTCTTTCTCATGAACCTCCTTACAACTGGGCTACACACAAATTGGGGTAATCAGCCAAGTATAGCTCCACTTGGAGTGTAATTACTTATCGTTAACTAAAACGATGCAGGACCAATTCAGAAGCAATGCACAGAATTCAAATGCCGCCTTCCTCAGACGTCAATGAATTTCATTCAGGTTGTCCATGTTAGGAATTGAGTTCCCAACAATGCTCCTCCTTGAACCCTTTTGGCCACACATGGAAGCAAGGCATGGGCTGGCCTCGCCTTTACGCCAAGCGTAGGTCGGTACAATTCTATTGCTGGCCAACAAGAAGGTGGCTAAAAGAACAATTTCAGGCGACCTTCCTTGGAAGAGAACTTCGTGACTGTATTTAAAATTCTTCGACAAGAATTCGCCAGTAACAAAAGGCAGCGCTGTGGCCTTTTGTAGCTATTCAGAGGATAGAGAATTACGAAAAATTGGTAATCGAACTCGGCAACAACCACCCGCAAGGTCAAGATTAGTCATCAACGTGCTGGGTTGTGGTGAATGGGCATTTAGATTGTACCGGTGAGTGCGTTCTCGAAGTTGATGTCGGCAGCTGCTGAGGACATCGCGGCCACCAGCAACCAAGCGCTAATCGTCGCTAACCGTAACAGCATGGCTGATGAGTGTATCTGAAAGACGCAATATTCGTACGTAATAGACATATCAGTTCTACTAATGCATAGAGTGTCAGACCCAACGTATAGAACATAGGCGCGTTGTACCTTCAAACTGACTTTGGAAGAGAAGACTTTTTTTTTCAAGACTCAGTGAAAAACTGAAAAGAGAGGGAAGAGATATTTTCAAAGGAAAGAAAACAGCACATTGATGAATCATGAAAACAAGCTGGAATACGATGAGACCCCGAAGAACAGCGAGAGGAGACAACGTTTCAGTTAGCTAAGGAACACTGCTTTTATACACTTTTTCCCTAGTCAACTATATTCGAATCATTTGGAGGTCTGGTATCGAGAGAGTGACAGATAGAACAGTAATTGAAGCTGCCACACAGCTAACTACTGATGCTTGGCAATGCTTTCCAACAGTAAATGCATATGTATGTCAGGGAAAAGACACTGTACTCTAGTCTTGACTTTTGACTTTGACGATGTTCTGCTCCATTGTTTTCCGCAGTTGCAACTCTGGACATATTCAAATGAATCTATAACTTTCCAAAGAATCAGGATTTCTGAAATACTGAGATTGATTATCTTCATGACAACTGATTACGTATTATATCGAAGGTGTTCGTTTCTATGTGCTGCAGAAGTGGGTAAGGGATATCTACAAGAGTTGAGCCAAATGAATGTGTACTGAACGTGTAGGTGTCTTGAATTCGTTTGACTCGATCTGTACTTCTGCTGCACAATCAAAATGTACCAAGGGCATATCTAGATAGAGGTTGAAGATAAAAAGGGAAGCGTCAGGAACCTTGTAACCGGTGATTGTGAAGCTGTGAGTAACGTGGAAGGGAACGTCTTGCGCACTCACCGCAAAAATCACGCTACCTCTATATTGACCACCTAATTTTTCTTTGTTCGTCCAATTTTCCAGCAAGCCTTGGGTGTTTCGCACCTTTCTGGACGTTGACATTGCCCAATTTTTGTCACCATATGAATAGGGTACATTCCTTATTTGTTGAAGTGTTGGTTACCTATCGAAAGCGCCATGCTGCAAGCTATGTGAATGCTATCGCTACAGCTGACTTGGGCAGATTCGTTGACGCTTACTCCCAAATCTCTAAATGAAGTGACAGTCGTTTGGTAGAATGCGTCGAGAGGTCCGAGAATGACCATTATCTTTCAAGGTCCCAAAGACATTGCTCGCCTAACTTCTCTCCTATATTTCGCTCTACATAATGACGCTGTCAACCTTGAGGTCGTACTTCTGTATTTTTTTCAGCCACTGTACGCCACACAAACACACGCGTGCGCTTCGTCGCCCTCCCTCTGCCGTTGATGGCTTTTGGAGCACACATATTTCTGTTCGAAAATGGTAAATGCCCCCAAAACAAGCCTTCTCGCTCAGGTAAGTGAGCGATGCAGAGAGTCGATGTAGCGAAATGCAAGTTGGGATGTGGAAACCGCTCCCGGAAAAGCACCACTAAGTTTTATGAATGAGTGCTGCACAGCAATCTAACGTCTTCTTTCAACTTTTAGGCGGCTAAAGGCCTGCTCATATCTATTGGCAAAGTAGTTCCAGAATAGTTCGAACAATGTGATTAGAGAAAGCCAAGAGGGCTCTTATTATGCAATAGCTAACCGGCAATTGAACACAGCTCGGCGAAGGCGGATGGTTGTGCGAATGGCTCTACGAGGATCCAATTAAATGCTGTTTTCAGATTTCCTCGTTTCTGTTGAAGGCTATCAAACTTCTCGAACCTCTGGACCAAGTGTTCTAACTGCAACTAAACCTGACAGTGATCGCCCTATGGATCTATTCCATAACAACAGGTACCCCTTGGGCGACCAGCAAGTGTACCAGTTCCAACATTGTCAACCAGAACGGTACGGCGGGTCATCTATCATGTTTTGCGAGTAAGTATGTCTAGTTTTTGAAATGGAAAGCAATAAAACTAAGTAAAGTGAAACTAACACCATCAAAATCGTCAGAAGAAAATGATAAGGCAGGATTTTGTTCCTCCTCCCCCCCCCCCCCCCCTCCTCTTCCCCCACCCTCACAATGTGGGACACGCGTAGAAAGATTGTGTTCACCAAGACGGTAGGCAGAAATGCAACGAACACATCTCAATGAATTATTCCTGTGGTAGCGGGCCACTTGACACTCTCCCACCTACACCGTTACCCTCACTCTGCTGAAGTAGCGGTATTACTGAGAAGGATTTTCGCGTTGCCTTTGATTTGTCTGTAGTTGAACTACCGATTTTTTGGAGGATTTGTCTATACTGCCCAATTAGGCCGACTAACGGAAATACTCTATGTTTGAGATATTTGTCATGCCTGCGAGGTTGATAGGTGGGACAATTTTTCAATCAACGGCCTTACGTTCCGAAGCAATCGTCTTCTTCAGAGGCCTAAATGCAACTCGAGATAACTCCCCGATATCCAAAAAGCACGTTATCCATCTTGGCAAATGTGTTGACGAATTCGAAACCCATAATTATAAGCATTATCCACCAGGGTTCCACCATTCAAGCGGACAAAATCTGCTGCCGCCACAGGTGCCGGTCAGAAGTGAATGGAGACTTTTAGCTGCCTTCCTCATACCTGTGATAAGGAAGATCACGTTGTAGTGCTACTGAGTCGCAACTCGAATTGCGGTATCTACGGCAAAAGATTTTTGGTTATTCACATTAAATAAATATATAAAAATCACACATTTTCCGGAGGAAGCCGACCACCACCTTCTGGTCGTGGCACTGGGAATGAGCTCATACTTTCGAAGCAGCTGATTTCAATTCCCAAATGAGTGTTTAAAAACATTTGCAGAAAAGAACTTCAGCTTTTCAGATGTTCCCGGTAGCACCTACGGCTTCAAGATCGGTAACTTCTATAAGCGGATGACAAACAACTGGCATTTATGGAGGGCTTTTGAACCGTGGTGCTATTCTGACTATCTAAAGCGCAGCAAACAGTCAGCAATAGCGATTCTTGTAAATCATCAGGACTTCAGAGCCCTTTCTAGTGGATGAGCACTTACATTTTTCTAAAAGTTCTGTACCGTCCTTAGTAAGTATCCTCGAAGTACTCAGACAGTATCACAGTATTTGCTTACTTCGTGCCAACAAGTGGGCAAAGTGAATGTCAAGCTGTGTGTGAAACGCAAAATCAACCGTGGGCTTGGGTGTTTACGAGTTTTTCAAGAAGAATATGACAGTTGAAGAGGAATGGCATAGTTAAACGCTCTATTTTCAAGACGAGACAAGTCACACATGCATGAGAGTCATATAAAGATGCACTATCAATACTGAATCTTTCGATCACCCAGTCACTTAACAAGCTTAAAAAATTGGTAGCGTGGAAGGGGAAACCGCAGATTGAATTGTAAGTAATGAAACGTTTGTTGGGAGCAGTGCAAGTGAAGAACTTCTACATCTGAGTTATTCGCTTCGCTCATAAGACAGTATTTCCAAGTGACCCATATTGACGCTTTAGTTTTTCTAAAGTGTATGAGAATCATAACTATCGAAAAAGGAAGAGAGGTCGGTCGTTCGACAAGAATTATTGCCCTAAGAATTTCCAATGTAAAGAACAAAGTGCGCTGTAGCCGAATGTACGACATCGTAAAAGGCATGTACTTTGAGACAGAACCATAGCCAACCTCAAAGCGAGGGTTATTCGGGTGCGTGGACAGCTAGTGACAGCCAATGGCTCGACTCAGGCTCAAGGTCGGAACGGTCGTTCGTTAATTCGAGAAGAAATCGTTGTGAGTAATAAAGAGGGAGAAGGTAAGGCTTACCTCCGGGAGAGGGTGAGGCTTACCACTGAACCGTACAGCTGCTTGAAGCAATATTAAGCTCTAACTTGTATCAGTAAAATAGGCCATAATTGCTGTGTAAAATATACATGGTTATGGTTCGAAATGGGCGACTACTCATTTATGAGCATACTGCATCACAATTTCTTTCACATTTGGCATCAGCCACACGGACATACCTCACCATATCGTTTTTGAACAGGTGCACAATAGCATGACCTTAATCACACAATGTTGAAGGAACATGTTGGCAAAACCTGCGGAAACTCGATCACGTACAGAGCCCAACAAGAAGATAACAGCACGCTTACGTTTCAAGCCTATCCCGATCGTTTCTGTTGTAGTAGCAAACATAAAATTATTAACACCACCCATATACTTGATTGTTCCGATTTTAACTGAGCAAGCTTGCTCTCAAGCGCCCTCAAGTCTGGACATACTGTAGTCCCACTCTTCCACAGACGGTTAGACTGATTCCAATCGGATTAGGTCAGATGTATCATATTGTAACATGAATTACTGTAAAGAGTAGACCTCATTACGGAGCCTTTCTGAAAAGAAATAGGTAGGTATAGGTGAATACAGTGATGTGAGTACTCGAGTCAGTTAGTTTTCAAAGAAGCCTATGTTTTTCACAAGTGGAATAGTTGCAAAATAAACGGACGACAACAACATTAGCATTGGATGCACATTGGATGAGGCATTTTGCTCTCCGGAGAGGAGGATAGCGACGAAACCTGACCGCGGACTGCTCCTCGACCACGCCCCTAGACGGTAATAATGGGACGGAAGAAGGTCTTGGAAGGCCCACCTCGCAAAAAGAAAAACGCGAACCTCGCCGACAATTTTAGAGGATTCTCTGCGCGTAACACCTCAGCGCACCATGCTGAGCCAATTTCGAAGCAGATGTATTTTTCATAAGAAAACACTGGCTCGGGAGTGAACCCTACTCATGGTCGGAGGTAGAAGCATAGAAAATCGAATGGGGACATGAAAGCAGGGCCGGGTCCTATTGGATATAGCACGGGTTTTCCACAATCAAGACTCTATGGAAATTCTTCCAAGCTATCAGGCAACGTTTCTTGGCATCTGAAAAGTTTTGGTCGATCTCTAATCCAGATAGCGCAGAACGAATGCTTGTTCGCTGACTAGTGACAACCTATGAAACTGATCCACCTTC